CTAATTTAAAAATAACATAAGGTTCATCCTTTACTATAGACGTTATCAAATAAAAATTGTGGATCTTCTTACTAATTAAGCTGATGAAGCAAAGTTTTCGATCTTATTACTGATTAAGCAGATATTGACAGATGATTAATTTTTATAAATGAATTAAAATATGTTAAATTTTTGAATTTTTAAATTGTTATTTCTTAAATTTGTAATTGCAGCTTTGCAGCTACAAATAATTTTATTTAAAAAATTTAGTGAGTAGCAAATAAAAAAATTATGTTAATTTATTTACTTTATTTATTAAAAGTTTGTTATTTTATTTGTGATTTTGTTGTGAAAGCAAAGATTATTTTTCCAAACATCTTTTATTAAAGTTATATCGCTGTATATATCATTTATTAAAGTATTCACTGTGATTTAACTTGGGTTTTAAAAAAAAAATGCTAAACTTAAGTTTTGTGCAATTTTTTGATGCAATTGTTTATTCAAAATTTAATTTTGAGTAAAAAAAAAATGTTTAGAAAGGAAAACCGAAAAAACAATTGTGATAAAAATTAGTATAAAATAAAAATAAACTAAAAAAATGAACAACTTCACTAAACCGTACAACCTAAGTAAAATATAAATTTAATATATATTGAATACTTGCTGTTAAATGTACTGCTATGAATTAAATATAAACTAAATATTAAAAATATTAATTTTTTACTAATATATATTAATTAATTTAAAATATAAACTGAAGATGAAACAAGTGCCTTGAATAAACCATGTAAACTTGAAGTAAAAACTACATAAAAAACGAATCATTTTACTACTAATAAACTAGGATATGGATTTCTATATATTGAAAATGAGGCATGGTCCTCACTTTTTTGTAGCAGAATATTGCAATTGATTTTTCTCTACCTTCCAGACTAGCTAAAACTCTGAAACTGTTAAGGATTTTTGAAGTGTTAATAAACAAGGATGTTTAAATTGTTTCCAGGCCCCAAGGCAGCAGAAGGAGGAGGGGTTAGATCAATACCAAATGTCAAGATTGTGTTAAGATTTGCTTCGAAGGTCACCGGTCAAAGCATATATGTCTAGTTGTTGTTACAGGTGCATCAATGATACAAATTGTGTTGGTAATTAAAACCTAACACTTATACATATATATGCATACATATATATATATATATATATATATATATATATATATATATATATATATATATATATATATATATATATATATATATATATATATATATATATATATATATTAAGGACTACTATATACGGAAGGACGCGCAAAGTCGATTTTCTGACTCTGCTAGCGAAGGCCATTATTTTTATCAAAGTTAAAGTGTTCTTTAACGTTCCTGTAACTTTTTTTTAAAATTTTAACCATAATCATGGTGAACAAATGTGGAGTTGTAAATTGTAAAGGGAGTTATAATAAACTTAATAAGTGTCGTTTTTTTAAATTACCGAAAGATAAAGTTGAGAAACAGAAATGGATTAATGTTCTTCCTTTACATAAAAATTTTATTATTGAGCCATCTAAATTTTTTATATGTGATAAACATTGGCCTGAAAATACAGAAATGATTAAGCTGCCTGGTGGCTATACTTGACCAGCATGTGCACCTTGTATTTTTAATGTTCCTTTTTCTTGTTTACCAACGCCAAAGCCTGTGCCTTGCTATTTCATCAAAAAAGATAGAATAAATTCATTTTCTAATTTTTATCCTGACAATGAGTTGCACAAAAGGTATAAAAATATAGTAATATCTTGACTAGACAATAAATTCATATGAATTTTTATGTCAAAAGATTTCAAAGAGAGTTTTATGACGATTATTGTTTATGATAAGTGTACCTTGTGTTCACTGCTAACCTTTTCAGCTTTTAAACATTGAATTTCCGTTCTATTAGCTAATATATTGAATCCAAACAATGGCTTAATCTTCTATTCACAAATTTTTGAAGCAATCAATTTAGTTCATAATTATAATCTGCATGTTAATGATGTTATTGAAAAGGTGACAAATGTTCTTTCAGAAAATGAATTTGAATTAAATGATGATAAGAAACAAAAAAAATTGAATTTTGTTACAAGACAACTCAAACTCTTGTCTATAAAAAGTTTCTCTATAGCTGATTATTGCTTTGCAATCGAGTCTTTTTATAACTGCAACTACGATCAACTTCATGACTTTTTAGTCTTTCCAAGTAAACGAAAGCTTCAGTCTATAATTACTGCCACTAACATTGACCATGTTTTACAAAAAACGTTTAAAAACGTAAAGAATAATCAATAGAAAAATTTTATTTTGATAGTTGACGAGGTAAAAAATAGGCCAACAGTTGCTTATTCGTGTGGAGTTTTAAATGGAATGACAAGAAATGATCCAGAATCCAAAGCCACCTCTATGCTATGTGTCATGAGGAAATGCTTACATGGTGGACCTAGTTTAATGATTTCTGTTACCCCTGTTTACAAACTAACATTATCGTATCAGTTCATTGTTGTGAAAGGTGCAATAGTTTTAGGATCTGTAACTGATAATGATAAAATCAATCAGCAATACTGCAAAATTTTTAACAGAATAACTGACTATCAGGCCATTCATCCATTTGACAATAAGCGTTTTTGGTTTCTTTTATTTGACACAGTTCATCTACTTAAATGTATTTGCAATAACTGGATTTCTGAAAAGTGTCAAAAGCCATTTCTCAATAATAAGACCATAGCTTCATTTTCAGATGTGAAAAGTCTATATCAATACCAGAAAGAGAACATTTTAAAAACAGTTCCTTTATCCTATGCTGCTGTCTATCCTTCGAGACTTCAGCAACAGAATGTGCAGCATGTTTTAAGAGTGTTTAATGAGAAAGTAGTAGCTTCTCTTAAACTAAAAGGAGCTTATGAAACATCCTTTTTTTATCTAGCAGATTTTAGATTGGTGGAATATTGTTAATGTTTCTGCAAAAGGGCAGGATGTTAGGTTGAGAGATCACAACCGATCTGTGCATGATAAAAATTCAAATAATCTTCAATTGTTTTTAGACATATTTAAATGTATGGAATCAGGACATGGGCCTAAATGAGTTCAGTGCGTTACCCATGATTTCAAAAAAGCCCTTGTGCAAACTACTGAAGGATTGATAGCTCTCTGCAAACATTTGTTTTCAGTTGGTTTTGATTATGTTTTGCTTCATGAGCTACAAAGTGATAGAATAGAAGGAGAATTTTCTGTTTATAGACAATCAACAGGGGCAAATGCTTTTATTGTAGCTGGTGATGTTTTCTCTGCTTTTAAAAAACGTTTAGCTAGATTTGCTACATCAAATTTTTAGAATCAGTGGAAGTAGGACAACCCAATAAAAAAGGTCACATATATGAGGGTCCAATTAGTATTGAAGATGCAACCTCAATTGAAACATGCATTTATGATGTGAGTCTTTCTGAAACTGAAGAGAGCTCTGCTGCCTATGTAGCAGGATGGCTTGAGAAAAAATGTGAAGATTAACTAGTTTATCCAGATGATGAACCTGAACTAATAAATGAAGCTAAAGACTTTATCGAAGAAGTTTCAAGGGGATATTTGACAGTTCCACATGTGTGTACTTATCACCTAGTTAGAATTGGTTTATGCTTTGTGAAAAAAACAAAGCACAGAGCATGTTGTAGTAAAAGACTTATAAGCATTCTATCTATAATGGACACATATTATGATTTTGGTTTATCATCAAAGAGTCTTTTTAGGCGTTTGACAAATGTTCTTCTGCATGGAATTCAGAATTTGGATTAAATCCAAGCAAAAATTGCATGTCTTTATCAGATATCAATTAAGAAGGCACGCCTTGCTGAGTAGTGAATCTTTCTTTTTAGATTTTTTACTTGAAAAATATAGTATTGTTTATTTCTTTACGAAGTTATATTAAGTTCATTATGTTTAAAAAAAAAAAGTTTTAACATTGTTAAAAAGTCTCTAGAGAATATGATGTTTATATGTTTATTTCTTTATAAATAAATTGTGTCAATAGTAAATTTTTTGTTTTTTTATAGAGGTTTTTTATATCGATCTTTTAAGCTTTTTAAAATAAGTTTTGATTTTGTTATTAACAATAACGTAAAATTATTTTAATCGTATTTCAGAATTTTGATTTTATAAAACGTAGTTTAAGCCAATTTTAGTTATTTAGGAGTTGTGAAATATTGACTGGACTGCGCTAGCGGAATCAGGAAATAGACTTTGCGCGTCCTTCCATATAGTAGTCCTTGATATATATATATATATATATATATATATATATATATATATATATATATATATATATATATATATATATATATATATGTACATATATATATATATATATATATATATATATATATATATATATATATATATATATATATATATATATATATATATATATATATGTACATATATATATATATATATATATATATATATATATATATATATATATATATGTACATATATATATATATATATATATATGTACATATATATATATATATATGTACATATATATATATATATATATATATATGTACATATATATATATATATATGTACATATATATATATATATATATATATATATATATATATATATATATATATATATATATATATATATATATATATATATATATATATATATATATATATATATATATATATATATATATATATATATATATATATATATATATATATATATATATATATAAGTGTTGGGTTAATTACCAACACAATTTGTATCATTGATGCACCTGTAACAACAACTGGACATATACGCTTTGACCGTTGACCTTCAAAGCAAATCTTAACACAATCTTGACACTTGGTATTAATCTAAGTTCTTTTTTTAAAATAAAAAATGTATATAAAAAAAGGTTTTTTTTTAAATAAGCAATAATTGTAGTTGTATTCATAAGAAGCTCATTTTTTTTCTGCCAATTTAATTTTTTTTACTTTATTTAGGCTGTTCACATGCAACCAGTCATGCAAATTCATGTGAATATTATCAAGGGACTTTCAAATTATTACTACACTTTTGTTGACATAATGACTTTTAGAGTAGGTAATTTTTTTTATTTTATATGTTTGCTTATTTTTAATTTAATTTTATACACTCAAGCTTAAGCTCAGAAACTTGAAAACAAATTTTATTGAAGTAAAATTAAATATACAGCAGGTTCATGAGTAACAGATTTTTTTGAAAAATTCTGTATCTCTTGTAGTTGCAAATGATGAGCTTTTGTAAATTATTTAAAAATTGTTATTAGAACTTGTTCTAAAAATATTTATGTTAGACTTCAAAAGAAGTGAAATTTTTTAAAGATTTTAAATATTACAATTATTTTTTATTTAATATGTAACACAAATGTAACATGTCAATGTTTTTTATTTAGTTATTCTTTAAAAACTTTTCACATAATGTAATTTCAGCATGGATGGAAAACTTTAAGATTAAAACTATTTCTTTTTTAAATTAAAAGATACAAAATTTAAATTAGCATTTGCTAATAAAAAAATAAGCTTACTTGATTATTATTTAATATTATATAAAAAATCAAACAGTTTTTTTAAACAGCATTAACTATTTTTTATTATAAGTATTATTGTTAATTATCTTATAAGTATTATTGATGTGCATTTTTAAGTTAATTAGTATGTTAAAAAGCAATCGAAGTATAGATAGTTTTCAATCACGTGATGCTAAAAGTTCGAAATTCAGCTGAAGAAGAAGATAGTTTTCCCATTCGAATGGGAGTTCTATTCATGGATAATTTATTGTCAAAAAGCTCAAAATTATCCCAAAAATTATTCGAATGGGAGAACTACCTAGTTCTTCTGCTGATTTATAGGTTTTTCAGTGGTTTTCAAACTGTCTGACTTTGTTTGAACTGTCTTTTAGTGAAATGCTCAGAACCCTCTTTATAACCTTGAGACTAAAAAAACATTACTAAGTTCCAGCAGTTTAAAGACATCAAAAATACTTTCAATTGCATTATCGAATTTAATACAAGCAGCAAAAACAGGACATGCTATAACCTCAGTAACTAAACCATGTAGTAAAATTAAAAATCTATGTAAACAGTGTAATGTAAACATTGCTAACTAACCCATAAAGTGAAATCGATCTATTAATAGATTGCAATGGTAGTGTAAATACTGATGATATAGCATGGTTAATTTTGCAAAGATAGAAAAAGATAAAAAAAACTTATTTTGCTCCATTTGCAATAACTAATATTTGTATCTGCATTTCAAAATCATATACAATTTGCAATAATTTGAATACACATTTATTACTGCTAAGAGGTCTCACATTTCCATTCAAATAAATTCTCATTTGACCATGTTTTTTTTAATTTAGCAAGCAACATTTGCATAATTCATGTAGCTTGATAGGTGATAAGTTGTCAGAAAAATATATATTTTATGAAGAACATTCTGGACTAAACTACTAATTGTTGAAAAGTTATGTCAGCTAAAGCTTAACATAACTTTTCAACAATTAGCAGTTTAAAGTAACAATATAATCGTTTAGATCTTCTACAAATTATTTAGGATTTTTACATGAGCATAAATTGCCTCTAAAATGACTCTTTCATTAAAGTTTTTTGTTGTTACTAAATAAATTATTTACTTATTATCTTAAAATTAATAACTATGTTAATAATACTAATATTTTTATTAGTATATAATGGCAATATTAATATAATTAATATAGTTGTTGGTTTCAGGATACTAGAGCAATTTAATAAGTAAATCATCATATTATTTATATAGATAGAATTTAAAAATAACACAATTTAATAATTTATTTAGCATGTTTAAAGAACATGAATATGTTCACTGTGTATGCGTTATGCAAATTTACAATTAAGCTAATTAAAAACAAAAAAATATGCAAATTCAAAACAAAATCATATCAAATATCTTATTTGATTTGATTTCGTTTTGACTTAGTTCAGGTTATTAACTAAGTAAATCTTAGTTGCTAAGGTTGACTTAGCTAAGTAAACCTTAGCTAGACTTGAACTCTAACTAATTAGTTAAACCTTGTTAAAAAGTTTTTAGAAAAAAAGATATTCAATTTTAGTTCAAACATAAATAAATTGCTAATATAATCATATATAGAATTAATTTCTACATAAATTTAATCAAAAAAATAATGCTTTTAATTTTAATTTCTATAAAACCACACATTACCAGACAGTTTGGTAATAAATGCTTATTTTTTAAATTTTGTTTGACCTACAACATGGCGCAGCTAGAGCGCTAATTATGTTGTGACATCATCTGAAAACTATCTATTAACATTTTATTCCGGGTTTTCAGTATTTGCTGAAAATTTGATAGCTTAAACAATGAGAATTGTTTGATAATAATAAAAAAATATTCATGCTTTTCGCTTAATTGGTTGATAAACTAGTTTGTGGTTAACTAGTACAAGTGTCTATAATTATATAAGTATAGCTTAATTAAACAAACAATATTATTGGTTTGACTATATCTGAAATAAAGGCAACAAAAAACCAAATATACATTTGAATAAAGTTCACTCGAAAGTAAAGAAACAAATCGAAACCAAAACATAAAACAAAAAACATACACAAGTGAAGCGCATGCAAATGTCTCTAAGTTAATAAAAATTCATTTGTAACTATGAAAAACGATATAAACTTTTCAAGTATTCAATTCATTTAAGTTTTAATGACAAATTGTCTTTTTAAATAATTCGTTGCACTCCAACTTGTTATTTATAAGGAGATTTTTCATATTTAATGAAATTTTTATTCGCAAAGAAAAAGAGTAATTTATGAACTCTTATAATAATTGAAATATGATCAATTGTTTTTACAAAACAAAAATATATTCTATTACAATATTTTTATATTGTTATATTATATTTTTATTTTTATTAAAACAATTGATTATATTATAACATTTTTATTTTTTTAATTATTTATTTGCTTAATAAGTAAATTATTAAATTAACAAAAAAAGTTATAATATAAAAAAATATTAAAAAAAAAAAAAAAGTGTGTTTGTGTTTAACATGAATATAATATATTTATTACCAATTTAGGATCATGTGAGCGAATTGCTAACACAAATAGATGCAAGTTTTGTTCATTTTGACATTGTAAGTTTTGAAAAAATGTTTTTTTATAAATTAAAAAATACATGTTTTTTTTTTCTTTTATCTTATTATCTCATTTTGATTTTTAGTTTTTTTCTTTTTTCCATTAATTGTTATTTTCTAGACATTAAATTTTGAATTGACGAAAGCTTATTTTGATTTGATCACAACATACGCAAGCATTTTTTTATTGATGTCAAAGGTTGACGATAGAAAAGCTGTTTTAAGTCTCTTTAATCATGCTATTGAAATGCAGAAAACACAAAGGTACATTTTGACATTAAATATTTTTTTTTGGGAGAAGGAGGGGTGAAGGGGGTGGGTGGTAGAGAAATTTCAAAAGAGATATTGTAATAATAGATTATGTCTGGGTGAAATTTATGTCCCATCTTTTGAAACACTTTATTAAAGTATTCTTTACAAGGTTTTGGCCTAAAAAGACTAATGTCAATTAAAAGATAAACTAAATTGCAAATAAATTTACATTATTTGCATTTTAATTTTATTTTACTTGAAATATATAAATATGTTTTGATACTTTTTAAATAAAAGATTGCAAAATAGACACAATTTTTCATTTATGAACACTTTCTTTATTAAATTTTTAAAGTTAAATTTATATCTTGAGATAATTTTAAATTTTATTTATAAATGTTAGAGAGAGGGTTGTAGCAACAAATATATATATATATATATATTATATATATATATATATATATATATATATATATATATATATATATATATATATATATATATATATATATATATATATATACATATATATATATATTTATATATATATATATATATATATATATATATATATATATATATATATATATATATATATATATATATATATATATATATATATATATATATATATATTAGGGTGGTTCTAAAAACAACTTTTTATATAAATGACTGCTGGCACCCTCTGAATATGTCGTATATAATAAAAAAATTCTGGATTTAAAAAATTTTTGAATAAAAATTATTTTATGGGGTTGCTACCAACCTTCAAACATTAAATAGGTCCCTAATTTTATAAAAAAAAAAGTTTTTCAAAAATATATCATGTTGGGTCTCAAACGAAGTGAAATTATATAAAAATTTCAAAATATTAATTATTTTATAATTAATTTTTTATTTTAGATTTTAGTGAAGAGAAAATTACATTTTTTAACTAAAAAAGATTAATAGAGAAATTAACAAGATTTTTTTATTATATATATTTTTTTATCAATTTTTTATAAAATGAATAATATTTTTGAAATTTTTATATAATTTCGCTTCGTTTGAGACCCAACACGACATACTTTTGAAAAACTTTTTTTTTTATAATATTAGGGACCTATTTATTGTATGAAGGTTGGTAGCAACCCCATAAAATAATTTTTATTCAAAAAATTTTTAAATCCAGAATTTTTTTATTATATACAACATATTCAGAGGGTGCCAGCAGTCATATATAAAAAAAGTTGTTTTTAGAACCACCCTAATATATATATATATTCATATATATATACATATATGTATATATATTCATATATATATACATATATGTGTATATATATACATATATATATATATATGTATATATATCTATACATATATATGTATATATATATATATATATCTATACATATATATATATATATATATATATATTATATATATATATATATATATATATATATATATATATATATATATATATGTTTATATATATATTCATATATATATATACATATATGTATATATATTCATATATATATACATATATGTGTATATATATACATATATATATATATACATATATGTATATATCTATATATATCTATACATATATATATATATATATATATATATATATATATATATATATATATATATATATATATATATATATATATATATATATATATATATTATATATAGCAAATTCATGTTTTATTAGGTAGTATTTATGGTATGAAGATCTATTTTGATAAAGAATAAATTTTTTTCTTAATTTGTATTTTTATTTACTATTGTATATATG